CGGCCTGCGCGGTCGGCGGTAGGCCGCGGGCTCGCCTGGGGTTTTCCCCACCCCACGTGTTTCTGGCGCGCCGCTGGTTTTCCTGTGCGAGCGCCGAGCCTCGGAGCAGCAGAGCTGTAAAGCAGTAAGCGGTGAGCGAGTAGCTGCGTCTAAAAACGGTGTGCTTATGTTATAACTGAGTGGTCTTTTCACAGGCTGCGAGCTTAAAGCGGATAAGGAGTATCAGTTCAAAGTAGATGATGAAGAAAACGAGCATCAGCTGTCTTTGAGAACGGCAAGTATTGTTTGGTTTTTAAGCTTGTTTTTTTAATCAGTGGTGTGCGATGTTGTGAGAAGTGAGTTTTTTAACATGTACGTTTGTTACACTTCTTTATTTTGGCGGTAAGCGTTTTTATGTGAATCTGTTAAATAATAAGCTCTTATTGGGAGTGGAACGTACCGTCTCACTTGAAATATTTGCTGCGTTGAAACAGAAAGTTTAAAATATCCACTAATATTGTGTCGTTTACAGTAAGCAATGCAAGGCTGGGAAAGTTGAAAAATTAACTCACAGTAGGTTAGTAAATATGTACTAAAAGGAGTTAAAGGCCAGAATATACACTCTGACATCTCTAATGCAGTAGTTCAGATGCTGCAGGAGCACAGGGGGAGGATAGATTTATACTAGTCATGGATGGGCACATTTTAGTAGACTTTTATTAGAAACTTTATTTTTAAAAGCTTTTCCATATGTTTCCCAAACATAATTCCAGTCCTTTTTTTCCCATAAGCAGCTGATAACTAAATTTAAATGGGGGCTGTGTGTGTATGTTTTGATTTATTTTCCTTAGTGTTGTCCTTTCTAAGGATGTAACTGGGAAACGCTGTCTTTTGTTCAGGTAATTCATCTAACAGACTCCTCGCTGAGCAGGATACTCCTGGAAATCGGGATCTGTACACTGAGAGTTCTTAGATGTGTCCTTAGATCTTTCTGCTGCCACACAAGCAAGACACTATTTCCAGGCCTTTGTTCTGGGCTGAGCATGTTACTTCTGGTTAGCAGAAAGATAATATGCCACAACTTCACAGGCAAGGAACTGAAGAGTTGCAGCATCTCTCTACTTCATGGTTTATTACTGTTTGTTTAAATACAAAGAGATAACTTGATGATACTTGGAAACAAGTGTCTTATAATTGTGGATTACTTCCTACAACAGAATTGCTTCCCACAGGAGACTTGCATAACAGTGCTCTCCAAACTTATTCACAGTGATAGTTACGACACTTTAATATAGGCATTAGAGTTTTGTGAATCATGTGTCCTCAGTCCTTGCATTTTATGAAAATTACAACCTGGACTTGACAACGACTAATTTGTTCTTAATTAGAATGTCTTTTGAGGGAAGAATATAGCAGTAAAGTATGTATAGGGCAAGTTCATGTGGATAGTTCTCATATCCGAATGTTTGTCATGCAGATGAAATTAGTCACTTGAGTTGTATGGCTTTATCCAAAGATCCTGTTTTTGGAAAATTACCTATAGCATCTCTTCTGATCCTGTGCACTCTTCATGGGGGATGAAGCAGATTGAATGCATACCAGTACTTAAGTTTTTAGGGTTGTGGAGAAAAAAATCTTAATTCAATAACCTGCCTTTTTAAAGACAAAAGATGATACACAGGAGAAACGGGGGTTCAAATAACAAATGACAAACTGGAAATGTCTAAGAGGCTTGGAAAGATCTTGGACATGGCTACAAACAGAAAATGCCTTGACAAGCAGAGGAAGGAGTTGATGGAAGATGAAGTGTGAAGGTAGCAAATACCCGGGGGCTGATCTGCACACCTGATAAAAGACTAGATGTAGAAAGATTGATGTCAGTTAAGATAGACAAATGACAAACTGGAAATGTCTAAGAGGCTTGGAAAGATCTTGGACATGGCTACAAACAGAAAATGCCTTGACAAGCAGAGGAAGGAGTTGATGGAAGATGAAGTGTGAAGGTAGCAAATGCCCGGGGGCTGATCTGCACACCTGATAACTGACGTCAATCTTTCTACATCTAGTCTTTTAAGATAGAAGTGTGGCGATGGACTTGGGTATGAGGTACAGAAAGAAGTGGGGAGAAAAAAGGATAAAAGTGAATGGGAGGGAGGATTGATGCATATAGAGGTAGAAAGTGGCATGAGGGTTTCTGTAAATGTCTTACTAATGATACTGAGAACATAAAGAGGGATGGTCACTGCTTCATTACCTATTTATTGCCAGTGCGCATTCCTTCAGTGTAGAAATTAAAGCACATGAATGGATATTGCCAGACACTCAGTAAATTAATAGTAAGTGCTGTAGTATTGCTTGAACTGGTGTAAATGACAGGAGTAACTGGGGTGGAGGGCATGCTCTTAAATTCTTGGCCTGGTGGGTAGTTTCACCAGCTGAATGATTCAGTGTTGTTGCTAACCCATTTGAGAGGTGAGATCAGAGCAGCAATTTCACTAAATTTACAGTAACAAACCTTGCCAGGAGTAGTGAATCCTATATCCTGTTTCTCAGCCTTCAGTCTGATGCATCTAGTCTGGATCATTATAGCCTGCCTAAAACTCAGCTCTTGGAGAATGGCGATTTGAGTTGTATGCCTCTGCCTGAAGTGTTTACACCCACATCTTCCATGGAGGGTGGAAAGCTTTCTTTTCATGGGCAATGGGAAAGGAAAGAGAGAGCCTTGTTCACTTGTCTCAGGAATAATTGTAGTACTTCAAGGGACTCTTGGTTTTCCCATCTCTTGTGTGTAATCCTGACTCAGGTGCCAGAGGTTCAGAGAACTGGAATTTCAGGCCTGTCCCATGTCTTGTCACTCATTTGCCTTTCCTGCAGCTATGATTTTTGGATCTTCAGAAAGTGCCAGACTTGTACCCAGTGTAAGGAATCCAGGCACTTTGAGTTTTGAAATGTTCTGGGACAGCAGCTCTCAGGCCTTGGTGAATGAACGCAGAAGGCATATGCGTAAATGACAGCACTGAACTGAGCAGTTGTTAAGACTTAACTCCTCTTTGAATGTCAAGTAAGCAAAAGGTGTGTAGTGTAAGTGATAGTTAAGCAATTGGCAGATGAAACATGGCAGGCAGGGGAAGGGTAAAGGCTGTGATTCTGGAGTAGTGACAGCAGTTGTTTCCCTTCCTCTAGGCATGTGTTCGTACTTCTTCCCTTGGGTCAGCTTCAGTGCTGACTGGACTTGTCACTGACCCATTTCAATGCAATAATCCAGTAGCAGAGGAACTACTCACTCTCATCAAAACACATGCCTTGAGTTGCACCTTGCAAGTGCCGGTGTTATGGGGAAAGAAGATACTGGCTCGGGGAGGAGTGCAACTGAATCATTAGCAGTCAGAAATACAAACTTCAGTCATAAGAGAATACAGAACAGTGAACGGAGTTTAAAAGACTTCAGAATATTTGGGAAGATTCTCAGAATGTGCACTGTTCTTTACTTCACAGGTTACTTTAGGGGCTGGAGCCAAAGACGAATTACACGTTGTAGAAGCGGAAGCATTGGACTATGAAGGCAACCCTATTAAAGTAGTGCTGGCATCTCTGAAAATGTCAGTGCAGCCTACGGTAAGTACAGGAACTTGGAAAAATCTACTATAAATGAGGTCTTGGGTGAGAAAGACAAATCAGAAAAGGTTTTGGTTGACTGAATTTTAGTGAAACTGTGCAGTGGTCAGTGGGTTCAGACAAGTATCAGTTTTGGCATGTGTAGTAAATACAAGCTAAATGTGAATATATTTTTTTGTGCCTAGTAGACTTACTCTAGTCATCTGGAGATGATAGACTTTTGTTCAAATTACGCATTTTTTTAAAGAAGTGATAGTAATTATGCGTGTCATCTCTATGTATACAAATGTATGCGTTTGCAAGCAGATGCATCTATAGCCTGCGTTGCTTTCTCTGAGAAAAGTCTAGTTTTTGTGCAGGTCCCAAACTTTGAGAGATTCTAAAGGTGACTGCTACCCTTTCTTGATTTAAGGGTACCCTACTTGTCATTCCTGCCATCTGGAATGTAATTTGAATCAGTGTTGCTGATGTTGTACAAGTGGAACCGCACAATGCTGCGGGCAGGTGTGATGGATAATGTTCAAATCGGCATTGCTGCCAAGATGAGTAGAAACAAATGTGTATTGGTCTGGCTTTGAAAAGTGTGCTTTAATTATGATAAGCAATGAGAGTATAGCAAACCCTGTTATGGCGTATTGACCCTGAATTGACTAAATACTTCAGGAGTATTCTGTCAGATGGAAACTTTATTAGCCTTGGAGTCTACAGATGTCAGTGCTCTTGGTTTCTTTGAATGAACTGTCTTGTTAAGCACACTTTGCCTTTAATATTTGAATAAGTAACAATGCTTTTTTCCTTAGGTTTCATTAGGTGGCTTTGAGATCACACCACCGGTGGTCTTGAGGTTGAAGTGTGGTTCAGGGCCCGTTTACGTCAGTGGTCAACATCTTGTAGGTATGTGTTACTCTGGTTACTAATCTGATCTTGCTACCTGTCAGCACCAACAGAACTTGAGTGGTGTATGTGGTATCTCAAGCAGTAGTTTCTCTAATACTGACCCTCTGAATCTTTAATTCACTGTCCTCAGAAGCATGAGGTAGTTGTAGGACAAAGGAGTTCAGAGAAATGCTTGCATACCTTTTCTTGCCTCTTGTTTTGTATGGATAAAGGGGAGTTTTGTCAGCCTTGCAATTTGAGTTCTAATTTCAAATGGGTGTTAGGTTCCTGGTGTTCGTGTCTCCCAGCAGAAAGCTGTGAGCTTTCTGGTATCATTTGAGAGTGTGAGAAGACTGCTCATGAAATAGTTTTGAGTTGCACTAAAAATTAAGCCAGGACTAGCCTTCTCCTTTGTAGAATTGTCTTTGAAACTCTTTCTAGAAGTCTCCTTAAATGTGTCTCCTTAGAAATGGAGAAAATCATATTCTTGACGTTACATGGCTTCTTTTCTGTGAGGAACGTTACAGACTGTGTATGGTTGGTATTCACCCATTTTGGATTTCACTGTAGTAGTATCTGCATACAGTCAACTGGAAGAGTGTCTGATCCCAATGGTTAGGTTGCTAGTAGGAAGCTTCCTCCTATCAATTCAGCACCTCAATAAAACCATGCCTATTTAGTTGTGGGTGATACTCTTCTGTTTGTTTCTCACTAGCAATCTTGTTTTAACTATTGTTAAATGAGGTGGTTTTTTTTACACGTTGCCATCATTTTATCAGCATTAGAGGAAGAACCAGAGTCAGACGATGAGGAAGATGATACAAAAATTGTGAACGCTTCAACGAAGAGACCAGCAAGTGGAGGAGGAGCTAAAACACCACAGGTATATATGCTTTCAGTCAGCTTGTCTGCAGCATTTCCTTTTGGTTTGGTATTAATGCTGCCGCTAGGAGTAAGCAGTTAGAGGGCTTGCTGCGATTTACTTATACATGGTCTGTTGACAGCTGTGGGGGAGGGTTATTTTGTACTTGGGTCTTGACAAGTACAAAATTATGGAAGAGTAGTTAAGTACGGATAGCTTCCAAAGCTGTGCTGGAGGGGCCTAATATGAAGGCTACTTCTATGTGGAAGCTTTGTCCACTACAGTAACTGAGTGTGTGCAGATTCTAATATAAACATTGGTGTACTGCGAGGGTTTAAATGCTGATGGAAGCTCTGTAGTGTAGCAGGAAGGGTTCATATGCTCAGAGCATGCTGTAAATTTGTCAATAGCTTTTGACTTGTCAGCTGTAACTTACTGATTTTTAGCTAAAATTGATGAAAGATAGTCTTGTAATTATGCCACAAATCGTTTTGGATCAAGGTTGCTGTTTATTAAGACAATGGTATTGACACTTCACATACTTGATCTTTTTTAAGAAAAAAGCAAAATTATCAGAAGATGATGAGGAGGATGATGAAGATGAGGAGGAGGAGGATGAGTATGTATTCTTGTTAACATTTTGAAATACAGGGTTAACTTTCAGAATACGAATTGTGTGATATAACTGTTAAGTGAGCAAGCTACTTTTTTATCTTGGCTACAGAAACAATTACCTAAAGTTTATCTCCACAATGTGATCTAAATTAGCGTTATTCAAGTATGTCATAGTGGGTTATAAAACTTAATTTCATGTAATTCATTAACTTTTAATATAGAATTTTTTATTAGTAGTAGTGGAAGTCATAAGGTAATGTGTCTTCAGTATTAAAGCAGAAGGGAATGCATTTAACTGCTTTAATGGTAGTAAGTAGAGTATTTGGCCCAATACCTTGCCATGTGTTAAAACAAGGTATAAGGTAGACTTGGGAAGATTACTTGCTTCTTTCATGAATAAAACATTTTTAACTGGGGGTGAGAGGGAAGACTTAATTCCTAATGTGGTTAAAGCTGTGAGTATGAATCTTGTTATAGTGAATTACTACCTTTCTAATTGCAGTGATGAGGATGACTTAGAGGATGATGAGGAAGAAATGAAAACACCAATGAAGAAAGTAAGTGGCATGTATACACACACACATTGTCACCCTCTTCACTTCACCCATGAAGGATTAAACAGCCTGTTTAATGAACTTTAAAGGAAGTGAGTGATAACACCAGGTGGACTTAATATCTGCAGCAAAGTTTCTTCAGACAGGGGGAGCAGGTGCTAACACCTCTTAACTTACTAATAGGTGTTAATTAACTGTCCTGATTTTGAGTCATCTTTGAGGATTCATATGAAGACCCCTAAAGCAGAAGTGTGTGTGTGTGTGAGCTGTGTTTGCATAAGTGAGTAGCTGTTTAGGTTTGAACTCTGCATTTATTGTAATGCAGAAGCTAACTGAAGTGTCCTTCTGCAGTGTTGTTTTACAATGGACTAGTTATCAATACAAGGGATGACAGTAATTGGGCAGATAGTCCCTTAAATCAATGAGTTTAAGCACAGCTATTTGGAATGTGTGAATGGGATGCTTTTGGTTTAGCTTAGTCTGTATAAAGAAATTGTAATAGGACATTAGAACACTTCAGTGTGAATGCACATCCAATCCATGTTTTATTTCTTTTGCTGCAGAGGGGTGGCTGGGTTCTTAGCGTGTGTATGCACACGTGCGGTTGTCAGACTGGTATGATTCCATGTATGGCTGTTGGGCAGCAAACAAAATCCTGCTCAAAGATGAGGGTTGTGCTTTGCCATTTCAGTTAGTCCTGCATGCTGTGAAAAAGGTCTCTGTAGCAACCTAATTTTCAATAAAAAAAGGGATCTAAATGTATGAGCCCATTGGAAAAGGTTCACTTCAGGCAGCCGAGTGCTTGAATGTGAAGTACATCAGCCCTTGAGTGCCATCTGGTGGTAAACTGAACTGTAAGACAACTTGGCAACTGCAGAGGTAGAAGGCAGTAACTTTTTTGAACTTGTGTACTTTGGCTTGAATTTATTTTTACATATCTGCTATTCAGAAGCAAACATTCAGTGATTTGCTTCACTATATGCTGCTTTATCCTAATGAATTTCTATAGGTGATGGTGCATAATAGTTTAAGGCCTGGTAAAGACAATCTGAACTGCAGATTTCCTGCCATCTAATCAAATCTAGTGTGGCTGAGGAAATGGTCCTTTGACTTACATAGGAATATAAGAATCCAGTTCTTAAATGTACATGTGGCATTGTCCATCCACAACCCAGATGGTATTTCTGTATGAAATGCCAAATGAGGTAATGGTTGTGTTAGAAAAAACAAATAGCACTGAGTCAGATCTTGGAATTGCAGTGCCATCTAGAATTAGTCTTATGCGATACCTGCCTCCAAAAGTCTGCATGGTAATATATAAGGAAAGATGCAATACATAAGGAAAATATAGTGGAGGTCCCACATAGCTGTATGGCATCGTAACAAAACTTGATCTTGGTTATGTTATGTATTGTGCTGCATCAACAGGTTTTTCACTCGGGTTCCTGTAGCGTACATGCTTTTTGCTTAAATAATGGACGCTGATCATGTTGCATGGGCAATGAGAATGCTTTTTTGTTTGATGTTAAATAGTATGTATTTGTCACTAAGTCTTGCGTATTATGTTAGCGAGCTTAACATTCACTAGCAGTGTTTCATGGCAAATGAACTTAAGTGCTTTCTTTTCAGCCTGTCCGTGAGGCTTCAGGAAAAAATATGCAGAAAGCAAAGCAAAATGGGAAAGACTCTAAGCCGTCCACACCAGCATCAAAATCAAAAGTGAGTGAAGGCAAATGAGTAAAACAAATATTTGTTCTAGTGTTGGAAGCTAGTTTTCTTGCCTAATGGTAACTTAAGTAATGTACTAACCATTAAGTTAGGTTTTTGAGTCTTATTGTGAAGCACGCTGGGGATACTCTTCATTGCTTCGTGTTCCCCTGTGAAACTCTAGTGATCGATATATAACTATTAACAGCCAAGATTCAAAATGAGACATGCTGTCCCTTGTGAGTATTGGTGATCCCACGGTTTAAAATACAAGTCTGTATTTTTTTGTGTAGCTGCTTGTACAAGAGGATGAGTGCCAACTGTGTTGCCACTGCAGTACAACAGGAGGCTGCTGCTAATAAGGGAGTCTCACTTAACTGATCCATTTGAGAACTGTTTTCTTGTTCAGTTGCGTTGTAGTTGTCAAGCTTCCTTGTGCAGCTTTTCCTTGCTGTGTGTACTTGAACTTGCATGCAAGGAACCTTGATACAGAAATTAGTGTGGGATGGATGGATGGCAGAGGATAGCATCTGAAAAGCAGTGCAGATGTGTGCCTTTTAAAGCATGACCTAATCTGGCTGCAGTTGTGGAGTAAACTCTAAAATCACTGAATGTTTGGGCTATTTTCAGTTTCATTTCTGTTGGGAGAAAGAGCTGCGTAGACACCTGCCCAGAAGTGTAAGATACTAGCTATGCTAACTGTGGTAACTCCAAACTTAAATGTTGTTCTTTTCCTTGTCTCTGAGGAATGTCTTGGAAGCACAAATTTAACTGCTGTGACTTTTTGAAAACTATCTGAGGTATTTATGTGATAGCTAGTTCTTTTATTCCATATAAATTCTATAGTAGGTTTTAACGCTCTTGTTTTTAGAAAACTTGATCTTGTATACTATGCAGCTTTATGTATGTGCAAGTTGCTAATGAAATGAATAATTTTCAGACTCCAGATTCCAAGAAGGATAAATCTCTAACTCCAAAAACACCAAAAGTCCCTCTGTCATTAGAGGAGATTAAAGCAAAAATGCAAGCGTCTGTAGATAAGGTGAGTTTTTGGAAACTTCAGGTTTGTTTGTCAGCCTTATTTTTGCACTTCCACAGATTAGAATAATTGGGTGTTTTTAAGAAATGGTTACATGTCATTGATTGCTGTGCTGTTATCAAGAGTATGTTGATGTTGAAGCTCTGAAAAATGAAAACTCATTTGGGACAAAAAGAAGCCTCTACTCGTGAGAAACAAAACACCTACTTTGTTTTTGTATTCCTCCAGTAGTGGTGTGTAGTAATCTGGTATTTCATAGTGAACTGTCTCAGTTAAAATTTCTAAAAAAACCACAACAAAACAACAATAAAAGCAACAAACTTTAGGTGATATTTATTCTAAAGTTGTCTTAACTAGTGTATGCATTTTATTTTAGGCAACTAGAGTAAAGCAGAGTTCTTCACATGCTTGGAATTGTTTGGTCTTAAAGCAGTATGCAACTTAGATATCCAGATGCTTGTAAGGCTTTATAACTGCCAGAAGGGGGAGGTAGGTGCTTGTGATTTGCATTAGTGAATCAATGAAGACCTGAAAGCATTTGGTTTCTGAGCTGGAGATCTGGGGTTAATTGAGTCTCCCTGCAAGGGATGTTTCATCTTTTGAAGGTCACAGGGCAGTCACTCGGCTTTTGGTTGCTATCAGCTTTGACTAGCACTTCACGGTTACGCATATGAGTATTCTTCTTAGCTGCTATTTAAGTATAAAAAAGAAAATTGCATTTTAGTTACAGGCTGGTTGGGTGAAAGTGTAGCAGGTAATAGCAATTCTTTCCCCCTTAGCCAAGTGTGGAAGCCTTTGTGGTAGCTAGGGGTGCAGCTCAGTACACATGCGTACTGCAGAATAGGTGGTAGTGAGGACCTGACATCTAGGCCATATGAGTTCTGGTTTTACTTCTGTAGCTCAGGAGCATGCTTACAGATCATATGCTCATTTGTGACTGAACCAGATCCTTTATTGGAGACTTATTTTTGGCTAAAACCTACACTGATGTCAGTGCTATGAAGAATTCTGTTTTTTTTTTGTTTGGTCTGAAATGATAAACTTTTTCCCCTTATATTGGCAATCAAGTCACCTAAAGAATTAGGATTATCTTCTGCTTAGATTCTTGATGTTTCAAGGCAGTTTTGTCCCAGGAATGCAAAATAAGACAAAAAGTGTCTCAATATAGAGTGGATTCAGAGTGAGCAATGACAGATTGTGATCAGGATCAAAATGCATCTCTCTAGATTGTGAAGCTGACAGTGATGGATGGTATAATTCTGCTAGGTCAAACTAACCTCTTGGATCTAGGGGATGCTAGGGTGGTTTTTTGCATGACTCAGAGGAGCCAGGATTAGTGTTGTTTCTGCAGTGTAAGCAGAAGTGGCTGAGCTGCTCACAGTAGACGGATGTCCCTATGGAGACCAGATAACTGGCAAGTAGCTTTAGAATATACTTTCTGTTGCTGAAGAGTTCTTGCTGGGAAATGCTGTGTAAGCACAAATATGTAGAGGCAATAGCAGGAAGCTTAATGTAATGTTTTCCAAGATGGTGCTAGAGCATACCTTAGTGAGGCAAAAGGTTTGTGCGTTGCCATATACAATAGCACTTCTAGCTGACAGCCAGCAAGTTAGCAGCTTTAAAAACCCCCACTTTATTATTTTATTAAATTATTAGAGTGGAACTGCTGTATTACGTAGTAAGTAGATGTCAGCAAGCTAGTAGAAAAGCATCAGTACTTGACAGAATCCAGGGGTAAGACACTGTCCAAATCCAAGCTTTTGGTTGCAGTATTGCAGTTTTAAACCTTCGTACTGTGGCTTTGTTTCCTTTGAACATAAAACTGCTGTCTTCTGCGGTGTGCTGAGTAGCAGCTAAGTGTACTGTCATAATTGGCTAGGTATATTTCAAGTGATGCACCTGAAAAATGGGATAAATATTACTCATGGGGCATGTGAAAGTAAATCTGTCTCTTAAAATAGTGTGCTGTATTATTTTACCTGGAGATAGGAGAAGACCTGGAGATAAACCTAGATCCGTGAATTACTGAATCTGCTTTGTACATTTGAGTATGTACAAAGACCATTTCAGAGATAGAAGCAAACGTCTCTAGAACAGCTCTTTAAATTCATAGAACTAACGTATTAGAATGACTCTTAAAGGGTAGGTGGGAGATGAGTTAATTTTTTGCTCTAGAGAGATGAAGTTGAAAAAACCTACCTGTGAAGGGTAGTAATGTCTCAAGTTGCATGCTGTAGTAAGAATCCATAAATAAGGAATTAGTTCTAGTTTACCTGAATAGCATATGAACGTTGACTACAAACAGGATTATCTTAAGTGGTGAATGCTTGTTGTTATGTTTCTGAGCATGAGTAAAGATGCTTGTATAGCCATATAGTGTGTAGGCACTCTTGTGAGAAATACCTGGGTACCGTAAAGAAGCAAACTTTTAAAAGTGGTTTAAAAGCAGATTGGTTTGGGATGTTGCAAGGTGAGTTCAGTAAAATTCTTTGTATGTTGCAAAGGGTTTACGCTTCGTAAGTTATTTATTGGAACCATTAAATGACCTGCATACACAAAAGCTTGCTTTTTTCAAAATAGGGTTCTTCCCTTCCGAAGCTGGAGCCCAAATTTGCCAACTATGTTAAGAATTGCTTCAGGACGGAGGACCAGAAGGTAACTGAATTTATTGGAACTTGATAAGGTCCAAAAATTTTTATAACCTGACTTAGGGATTCTTTTCCACTTCTTAATCTTTACAAGCTTTGGACTGTTTCAAAGAGTTACAAACCACGAACAATACTTCAAATTAAATAAATGGGAACAGTTTTAAGGGTTTAGTTGGCTAAGATGGGAAAGCTAATATTTTATTACATTTTTCCAGCTTTTATATGGTTGGTAAATTATCTCTTGCTTACTAAACCCACAGAATTTTCCTTTTGGCACCATATTGGCTAAGGAAATGAGCTGTGGTTTTCCGTGCTGCTGAATTTGGCCACCTAGGCCAGTCTGCTGTTCAGCCTTTTGTTGGGGAGGGTGTCTGGGAGGGGGAACTGTTTTGCGATTGAGATTATGGCTTTCTTGCTACATTTTCTCCCAAAGTCAACTGAACTCTTGTAAGAGGGCAAGCCAAAAGGTGGTATCAGGAAGCAAGTTTCCGAATTAGTTATTACTCAACGTATACTAGGCTAAAATGTGTCTTAGATTTCCCTATCAAAATTCCTGTAAGTTAAAACTTTCTTCCAGTGACAGAATTCCTTACGATTTCCTGCTTCCTTCAGTGGTTCAGAGTAAACTTGTCTGATAGACAAATTGATAGGTTCTTGAAAGAATATTTAAAAGCAGTTAGCCTCAGCTACTGGAGTTGGTGTGACATTAGCCAGGGTAGGCAGAGTTCAGCCAATATTTGCCTAGCTGGTCCACACCCATCCTCTCACCTTCACTGAATTCTTACTATTGTGACTTACAGTGAGTAACAGTCTTCTAGCAGAAGGACCGAATGTCTTGCTTTCAACCTGATTTTTTCTCTGAAAGGAATGCATTTTTGTTGTAATTTAATGTCAATATTTTGTGGAGTAAGTGGCGATAGTAAATTGAAAATAATTAGAAAAATGGATTTCAATTTCTAACTTTTTGTGTACACTTCCAGGTCATTCAAGCTCTCTGGCAGTGGAGACAGACTCTGTAAGAAAAGAAAACAGTTTAAACAGTTCATTAAAATCTGCAGTCTTATTTCTGTAACCATTATTTGGCTGTCCTTTTTACAAAAGAGCGTTCCCTACCGTGGCTGATAAATGTCATCCAGATTACCTTGCCAAGAATGTGTTGTCCAAAATGCCTGTTTAGTTTTTAAAGACTGGACTCCACCCTCAGCTTCATTTTAAGTATGTATGGAATGTTTTGATAAGGCATGGTGGTGGTGGTGGTCAGACAAATGGAAATGGTGGGGAGACTAAATGTATGTGGAAAAAAAATAAAATTTAGTATTTTAATAAAGTACTATCGTTTCTTTTTTATGGGTTGGGGGTAGTCTGCATACTGAACCCAGAACATAACAGGGCTTTAAAGTTCTCATAGGAACCTACTGCTAAGTATTTCAGCTACTTCTCTTTACCAAGTACACATCAGATAGCCTCATTTATGTTGTCAACTTTAAAAACAACTTGACTCAATTCCATGAGCTTTACAGCTACTGAGCAGATGATTGGTGAGAAGACTTAAGTGGTAAGTGGGACTTTATTCTTGTCTAGAAGTGACCACTAATTATATAATTGCCTAAAACAGCCTTTCCTGCATCTCGATTTCTGACCAGCTTCATTGCTCTTTGGTTTATGGTTTCTGTCTAACAACTGAGTTGGTAGGGCTTGTGACTCCACTTGTAAAATGTAATACTTTTGATTTGGGAATTGCTGGCTGTGCTGTTAGACCTCTGAGGGGCTACAGTCTCTGAGGTTGTCTCACGTAATGACTCCTGTGAGGGTTTTGTGGAGAAGAGAATTAGCTTGAATGCTCTAGGGTGTGCCTAGAGAGCTCACTGAGGGAGATCAATGCCAGTGGATAAATTCCTGGGAATGATGAGCTGATCTCAGATGGGCAGGTAGTCCTATCACAGTTCCTTGGGTCTTTTCTGATTACTGCCTACCAATGATACTAAGAGGCTGAGTTAAAACAAATTTTTGGACCATTCTTGGTTGTCATAAAGTAGAAATGCCAAGGAATAAGGGCTCTTTCAGGTGAAGGGGAGAAGGAAAACATGGCATACCTGGCACTGAACTCTTCCTCAAGGCTCTTGTCTAAATGCTGTATTGCTTCAAATGCTTGAATCCTGTATCTATGTGTAGTAACTGCAGTAATGGTTATGAAGACAGAAAGAATATTTAAAACATTTAAGCAGTTGTATGGTAACTATTAAAAGGATTTAATCGTTGCTATGTGTGAGAATTAATGCAACTGGCTTCTATTTTTCACAACAGAAAAATCTTACTTGAGAACAGAAGGGCCTTAAAGCAGGCTTTAGCAGGTTGAGTTTCTTCCACTTGAAGGACTTGCACAGTTGGGGTCCTGCAGCGGTTACCTTCACAAGACATGGTAACTTCCTTTGTTGGGGTGTGCTAATTGGGCACGGGGTCTCCTTTCTTACTGGATGTTCGTTTTTCCAAGTTGTTCTAGAAGCAGAATGTGTGACTTGGTTTGTGAAATTGTCGCTGGAAATACTTTTAAGGTTTGCTATTATAAAAACCTTAGTTTCTATAGTTGAGATTCTGGGCATGATGGAAACCAATGCAAGTCTCCAGAAGCAAATAATTTCTTTTTGGAAAAACAAAGCCAAGGAAAGTGCATGGTAGAGAAGCGAAACACAGTGCAAGTCTGGTGTCGAAGATTCATTTAAACTTGAGTATAAGTACAGTATGTGAAATGGCAGGGTATAAGGGTTTGAAATGCCTGTTCTGGTGGGGTTATGTCAATAGATGATGTCATATGCACAAGTGAGAGCAAATTTCCCTGGTGAAATAGAGCTAATGGCACAGACAGGCTTATTTAAGCAAAATTGCCCTCAATTTTGGCTGAAACAAGTGAAAATTGTACAGTAATTTCAGTAAGAGGCTATCCAGCCAATAAAATATTCTGAGTATTAAACTTTAGAGATGGAAAAGCCCAGGGTGTTGTCTGTCTATAGGTCACTGACCAGGTCTGTGGGGCGCAGCTGCACTCGGCCCAAGGATTGCAGGGGGAAGATGGAGCCCGTATGGGCAGTTCTAAAGGAAAATGTATTCCTGTGCTGTAGCCAAGGTATAGTGTAGGTCAAATCTCTTGTCAGGCTGCCATTAAGCATCACGAGGCATCTTTTGAGGCATCTGCATCACAGCATAAAAATGATAACTTCACTTGGCCCCGGTTAGCTTTGCTCACTGTTTTCTGCCAGTTCACGTTCTTACAGCTCTAGCTGTGGGACGTGGTCAGTGTGGCTGTCCTGCCCTGCTCCTGGCTGTGTGGCGTCTGCCCCAGACCTCGCCCGTTCCTGCCAGTTACGGCTCCAAACACTTTGCTCCTGTTGGGACCCGCCATCCGATGACTCCTGCGGGGCTGTGCAGCTGTATCCTCTAGGATGCTCACAGGCAGCTGCTGGTTCTTCCACTTCTTTGACCAGAGCCTCAAAGGTTGAACTTAAAAGCACTTAGTTTAAGCTCAGATGTGAAAATACGTGTTGAAGAGAAGATCCCAAACACCAGATGGGGGTTATTGAAGTACTGTTCTTGACTTTCTGCAGAGTTGAAACATGTTTTTGCCATGGTAATAATGGCATGATTGCAACAAGGCTGTAATGTTTTGATAGCTATGTTGAGGGTTGGGTGATCCTGGTCCTTGAGGATGGCTTATTTGAGCGTGGAGGTACATAGTCAAGTGCACTGATGCAAATACAGGCTTTCTCACTCTACCATGGGAAAACTCATCTTCCCTTTACAGGATGGTAAAATGCCTTTCCAGGTGGCTGTCCCTTGACCTCTCTCCATGAATTTCTCCCCCTGCTGCATTTCCTGTTGCAGGACCCTTCTGTTCTTGCTTTTTCCATGCTTCGTTTCCTCCCGTAAGTGCTTCATTCCTTACAATGAACAGGTAGCTAGTGGTGTTCCCCTGCACAGGACAAGGGGAGGGCCACACAGCTGAGCGGGTGTGCGGGACCACACAGGGTGTGCAGCAGCACTGTCCTCTGCTGCACAGTGTGGGCTGCAGCTCCATATGGATCTATTTTGTCTCCCAAGTCTCTGGTGTTTCTGGGCATCTGATTTCAGAGGAGGTGATAATAGAAGGGTACTGACCTCCAGCTTCAGGAGGTCTTGGTCTGCGTCTTATTCCTTGGGGTGTTCAAGTAAAGTGCTTGAGGCCACCTTAGGTCTGTCTCAGGGTTCTGTTTGCTCCTGGGAATCAAACTAGCTTGCCAAAATGGTGTCTCGGACCCCAAGCGCTATGGTGAGTATGAGGCTCTGTTATTTTGCCTGTGCTCAGCTTGTTGCAGCCTTTGGAGAGGAACAGCTCTAGCATGGCTGGCGGGTGGAAAGGAGTGTGTGTGGGCTGAGGTAATGGAAAACAGGGCCAGGATGGGTGGTGGTTCTGGGCTTCTTGCCACCCAGACAGTCCCTCAGGGGCTAAGTTCATGCTGGAACATGCTCTCCGTCCTCTCCTCTAGAAATCTTACCCGGATACCCCAAGCTATGTCCTGTCTCCTTCCAGTGTGCCATTATTGACTAGCAGCCAAACTATCCCAACTTTTCCTTCCCTCTTTTCCTGTGGAACAAGCATGTAGATCCTTATTCCTCTTGCCATTTCCCCAAAGGGGAATTCAAGACTGGATCCTATTTACAAAATGTCATTGAAAAAGCTGCAAATGAATTGGGTGGTTTGGAGTGTCAGATGGAGCGCCTTTATTCCCTGGCCTTGTCTAATGGGCAGTAGGTCCTGGCAAGCAGCAGCAAGAGCAATTGGTTGTGTTGAGTGAGGTTTGGAGGTTTTGTGATCTGGTATTTATTGAGGGTTGCTTTGTCTTGAGTCCTGGCTCTGGTAATCTGAATGAGGAGAGCTGAGCTTGCATGATTGGGCACAGGAGAAGCGCTACAGGACTTCGAGGTGTGCCTGAGAGGGCCTGACTTGTTCTTCCTTGTGCAGACAGCAGAGGGAATCCCCTGCTCTCTACTCGCTGGTTGTTTATCTACATTTACACTTTTGGGAGCAAATTGGCGTGTTGTGTTGGATCAGCTCTTCAGTGGCTGTCTGGGTTGTCTGTTACGCAAGTGGATTTTAAGCCATGCCTAATTTGGACCAAATAAACCAATCAAATACATTAAATATTAATTAAGATAATGTCTCCCGTGCCATGGAGACCACTGGACTCTTCTAATTGTATGCATGCATGGCCTGTGGTCAGTTGCATGGGGATGACTTTTGCTCTGCTCCTTACTTCAGAAGCTTTCTTTTCCCCTTCCACCACTTCCATTGGTTCTCCCTAACCAAGCCAGAAGAGCCTTTATAGGAAAAGGATCCCGGGAGGAAACAAAGAACAAGAAAGGACAATGAATCAAAAAGAAGAGGAAAAGGTGGTTGAGGCTCAAAAGCGAGAATGGGAAAAATGGAGACCCTCAGTGGGATGCTCAGCAGGGGAGCTCGAACACTGCCTGCCACTTCCAGAGGCGGCCGTGCAGGCACTGATGTGCTGCTGCCCAGAGACTTGTCCAGCCAAGGGAATGGAAATCCATGTACTCGAACAGCAAGTGGCAAAAGGAGGGAACATAATTAGGCCACTCAAAACAGAATTGATGCACCTCGTTCATCTTAGACAGTGTTTGGTTTATCCTGGTACTAGAAACAGTCTTTTTTTTTTTTTTAAACTGAAGGCAATTTTATTAGGAGGGTCCTGCAGTCTTACTCAAGATCCCTTCAACTAATTGCTGGGGCCCTAAGCCTGCTGAGCCCCATCCGATTCTGTTGACTTCTCTGGTATTTAAGAGAAAATAAGTTCCTCTTGAATGAGGATATACATTTTCAAAGCTATTTTCAAATTAAGCCTGAGGTTTTTTAATTGACTTTTTTAATGAGAAATAACTGCAGGGAGAGTTGAAGGCATATTGTAGCTTGTCGAGGTACTTGGTATTTCACTGCTGTAACCACCTTTATCTGTGCCTGGTTCGTGTAACTTTTCCCGTTACTCCTTACATTTGTCCCAAAGCTTATAATTGTGATGCTTTCTCAAGAACGTCCTTGATGAGAGGCTTCTAGTGACACAGATCACGCTATATTGAGGCAGTATATATTATCCCAGTATTGCTTTGAGTGTTGCTTCCCAAAGTACCTGCTGCTTTAGCTGTTCCCTGTACGTAAATGTGTATGTGTGGACACTGAGAACAATGGAAAACTACAGCTAATAGGTAAAGCTTTCAATTTAGTAATAAGGCCACCTCTGACCTTTAGGACTCTCTTCCCTGCTCCTTAACTCTTTTTCCCATACT